ATCTACAGTCAATCTAAAGCCAGACTACAGTCACACTACAGTTGATCTTCAGTCTTAAGTCAATCTACAGTCAGTCTCAAGTCACTCTACAGTCAGACTAGTTAGACTGTAGTCAAGACTACAGACCGTCTAGTCAGACTACAGTCAGACTACAGTCAGACTACAGTCCGTCTAAAGTCAATCTAGTCAGACTACAGTCAATCTACAGTCTGTCTAAAGTCAATCTACAGTCAGACTACAGTCTGTCAAAAGTCAATCTAGAGTCAGTCTACAGTCAATCTACAGTCAGACTACAGTCAATCTACAGTCCATCTAAAGTCAATCTACAGTCAGACTACAGTCCGTCTAAAGTCAATCTACAGTCAGTCTACAGTCAATCTACAGTCAGACTACAGTCAATATACAGTCAGACTACAGTCAATCTACAGTCCGTCTAAAGTCAATCTACAGTCAGACTTCAGTCAATCTACAGTCAGACTTCAGTCAATCTACAGTCCGTCTAAAGTCACTCTACAGTCCGTCTAAAGTCAATCTAGTCAGACTACAGTCAATCTAGTCCGTCTAAAGTCAATCTACAGTCCGTCTAAAGTCAATCTAGTCAGACTACAGTCAATCTACAGTCCGTCTAAAGTCAATCTACAGTCAGACTTCAGTCAATCTACAGTCCGTCTAAAGTCACTCTACAGTCCGTCTAAAGTCAATCAAGTCAGACTACAGTCAATCTAGTCCGTCTAAAGTCAATCTAGTCAGACTAACAGTCAATCTAGTCCGTCTAAAGTCAATCTACAGTCCGTCTAAAGTCAATCTAGTCAGACTACAGTCAATCTACAGTCCGTCTTAAGTCAATCTACAGTCCGTCTAAAACAGGGGTGGGCAATTCCAGTTCCCGAGGGCCGTTACCCTGCAACTTTTAGATGTGTCTTTGGTTCAGCACACCTGAATCAAATAATTAGATGACTGAGAGAACTCTGGAGGAAGTGACTGCATACTAAGGAGGTAACCGAGCCATTTAATTCAGGTGTGTGGAGCAAAGATGGATCTAAAAGTTGCAGGATACCGGCCCCCAGGAACTGGAATTGCCCATCCCTGGTCTAAAGTCAATCCAGTCAGACTACAGTCAATCTAAAGTCATTCTATAGTCAGTGGAATCAGACTACAGCCAATTTACAGTCAGTCTAAAGTCATTCTACAGTCAGACTAGTCAGAGTGCCGTCAGATTACAGACCGTCTAGTCAGACTACAGTCAATCTAAAGTCATTCTACAGACCGACTAGTCAGACTACAGTCAGACTACAGTCCGTCTAAAGTCAATCTAGTCAGACTACAGTCAATCTACAGTCTGTCTAAAGTCAATCTACAGTCAGACTACAGTCCGTCTAAAGTCAATCTACAGTCAGTCTACAGTCAATCTACAGTCAGACTACAGTCAATCTACAGTCAGACTACAGTCAATCTACAGTCAGTCTACAGTCAATCTACAGTCAGACTACAGTCAATCTACAGTCCGTCTAAAGTCAATCTAAAGTCCGTCTAAAGTCAATCTAGTCAGACTACAGTCAATCTACAGTCCGTCTAAAGTCAATCTACAGTCCGTCTAAAGTCAATCTACAGTCAGTCTAAAACAGGGGTGGGCAATTCTAGTTCCTGAGGGCCGCTACCCTGCAACTTTTAGATGTGTCTTTGGTTCAGCACACCTGAATCAAATAATTAGATGACTGAGAGAACTCTGGAGGAAGTGACTGCATACTAAGGAGGTAACCGAGCCATTTAATTCAGGTGTGTGGAGCAAAGATGGATCTAAAAGTTGCAGGATACCGGCCCCCAGGAACTGGAATTGCCCACCCCTGGTCTAAAGTCAATCTAGTCAGACTACTGTCAATCTATAGTTAGTCTAAAGTCATTCTACAGTCAGACTATCTAGACTGTAGTCAGACTACAGACCATCCAGCAAACTACAGTCAATCTAAAGTCATTCTATAGTCAGTGGAATCAGACTACAGCCAATTTACAGTCAGTCTAAAGTCATTCTAAAGACAGACTAGTCAGACTGCAGTCAGATTACAGACTGTCTAGTCAGACTACAGTCAATCTAAAGTCATTCTAAAGACAGACTAGTCAGACTGCAGTCACACTACATACAGTCTAGCCAGACTATAGTCAGACCACAGTCAGTCTAGTAAAATCACTCAGACTACATACCGTCTAGTCAGACTACAGTCAGGCTAGTGAAATCAGTCAGATTACAGTCAATCTACAGTAAGTCTAAAGTCATTCTACAGTCAGTGTAGTCAGACTACTGTCTATAGTCAATCTACAGTCATTAACAATTTCAAAAAATTGTTATTGTCAATGCAATCAACTGGTTTTCCTTAGATAGAAAACTTTGTATCAATTTGATCTGGTTGAACTGTAAAGTGCCTTGAGATGACATGTGTTGTGAATTTGGCGCTATATAAATAAACTGAATTGAATTGAATTGAATTGAATTGAACAATTTCCTCTTTTAAAAGATGAAATTGTCCAGTGAGCTGTTTCCAAACGAAATTTCTTTTTGTTTTACACTTGTGTAAACAAAATGACAAATAAAATCTGTCTAAAGTCTCTGAAAAAAAGTCAGTCTCACCACACTACAGTCAGACTACTGTCAATTTACAGTCTGTCTAAAGTAAATCTACAGTCAATCTAAAGCCAGACTACAGTCACACTACAGTTGATCTTCAGTCTTAAGTCAATCTACAGTCAGTCTCAAGTCACTCTACAGTCAGACTAGTTAGACTGTAGTCAAGACTACAGACCGTCTAGTCAGACTACAGTCAGACTACAGTCCGTCTAAAGTCAATCTAGTCAGACTACAGTCAATCTACAGTCTGTCTAAAGTCAATCTACAGTCAGACTACAGTCCGTCTAAAGTCAATCTACAGTCAGTCTACAGTCAATCTACAGTCAGACTACAGTCAATCTACAGTCAGACTACAGTCAATCTACAGTCAGTCTACAGTCAATCTACAGTCAGACTACAGTCAATCTACAGTCAGTCTACAGTCAATCTACAGTCAGACTACAGTCAATCTACAGTCCGTCTAAAGTCACTCTACAGTCCGTCTAAAGTCAATCTACAGTCAGACTTCAGTCAATCTACAGTCCGTCTAAAGTCACTCTACAGTCTGTCTAAAGTCAATCTACAGTCCGTCTAAAGTCAATCTACAGTCAGACTACAGTCAATCTAGTCCGTCTAAAGTCAATCTACAGTCCGTCTAAAACAGGGCTGGGCAATTCCAGTTCCTGAGGGCCGCTACCCTGCAACTTTTAGATGTGTCTTTGGTTCAGCACACCTGAATCAAATAATTAGATGACTGAGAGAACTCTGGAGGAAGTGACTGCATACTAAGGAGGTAACCGAGCCATTTAATTCAGGTGTGTGGAGCAAAGATGTATCTAAAAGTTGCAGGATACCGGCCCCCAGGAACTGGAATTGCCCACCCCTGGTCTAAAGTCAATCTAGTCAGACTACTGTCAATCTATAGTTAGTCTAAAGTCATTCTACAGTCAGACTATCTAGACTGTAGTCAGACTACAGACCGTCCAGTCAGACTACAGTCAATCTAAAGTCATTCTATAGTCAGTGGAATCAGACTACAGCCAATTTACAGTCAGTCTAAAGTCATTCTAAAGACAGACTAGTCAGACTGCAGTCAGATTACAGACTGTCTAGTCAGACTACAGTCAATCTAAAGTCATTCTACAGACAGACTAGTCAGACTGCAGTCAGACTACATACAGTCTAGCCAGACTATAGTCAGACCACAGTCAGTCTAGTAAAATCAGTCAGACTACATACCGTCTAGTCAGACTACAGTCAGGCTAGTGAAATCAGTCAGATTACAGTCAATCTACAGTAAGTCTAAAGTCATTCTACAGTCAGTGTAGTCAGACTACTGTCTATAGTCAATCTACAGTCATTAACAATTTCCTCTTTTAAAAGATGAAATTGTCCAGTGAGCTGTTTCCAAACGAAATTTATTTTTGTTTTACACTTGTGTAAACAAAATGACAAATAAAATCTGTCTAAAGTCTCTAAAAAAAGTCAGTCTCACCAGACTACAGTCAGACTACTGTCAATTTACAGTCTGTCTAAAGTAAATCTACAGTCAATCTAAAGCCAGACTACAGTCACACTACAGTTGATCTTCAGTCTTAAGTCAATCTACAGTCAGTCTCAAGTCACTCTACAGTCAGACTAGTTAGACTGTAGTCAGACTACAGACCGTCTAGTCAGACTACAGTCAGACTACAGTCAATTTAAAGTCTGTCTAAAGTAAATCTACAGTCAATCTAAAGCCAGACTACAGTCACACTACAGTTGATCTTCAGTCTTAAGTCAATCTACAGTCAGTCTCAAGTCACTCTACAGTCAGACTAGTTAGACTGTAGTCAGACTACAGACCGTCTAGTCAGACTACAGTCAGACTACAGTCCGTCTAAAGTCAATCTAGTCAGACTACAGTCAATCTTCAGTCAGTCTAAAGTCAGTCTAGTTAGACTAGTCAGATTAAAGCCAATCTACAGTCAATCTATATTCAGTCTAAAGTCAATCTACAGTCAGACTGCATTCAGTCTACAGTCAATCTACAATCATACTATAGACTATAGTCAGTCTGCAGTCAATCTAAAGCAAGACTACAGTCACACAGCAGTCGATCTTCAGTCAGTCTAAAGTCAATCTATAGTCAGTCTAGTTAGACTACAGTCAGATTAAAGCCAATCTACAGTCAGACTACACTCTATAATCAGGCTAAAGTCAGTGTACAATCAGACAGCAGTCAGTCTACAGTCAATCTACAATCAGTCTACAGACTATAGTCAGTCTGCAGTCAGACTACAGACTATAGTCTGTAGCCCAAATAGAGCTCAAATAGTGTTTACATTGATCACTAACAATGCGTCACTAGACACCAAGAAGGTGGAGCCAGTGGTCGGCTGAAACTAGCAGGAAAGCTTACCTGGGCTCCAATGGCGCTGGTCAGCTTGAAGATGTAGAGAATGATATCTAGCAGAGGCTGAAGGACAGAGAGAGAGATCCATGGGAGTTTTGCTTTAAAACTGTGTTCTGGACAAAGCTCGTTGGGCTGCTGCAGTAGGACAGGACACCATGAGGATGACGACGATAGGTGTGACTGAAGCATTACTAACCTTGCTCAGGTTGGAGTAAAGATCCACCACGCTGTTGCAGAATTTCTCCACATCCTGCGTCAACAACTGGTCTGGGTTGGCGATCCGGTTGTCCAAGTTTCCCATCTTGTAGTATGTGAAACCCCTAAAGAGATGGAGAGCAATGACCTTTGATCTCATTAGGTCACTATGCAGTAGAAAGCAGTCAATGGATCCATGGAGGAAAGACTGCTTAGTTCATGCTACAATAAGAAGAATAAATAGCAGGGTTCAAGTAAGAGCATGATGAATGGCAAGTTTGAAGGAAAAGCAGTCCCTCTGTTTCTTTATCGGTTCTAACACAATCTACGTGCTTTCCTCAAAGCGTTTACGCAATGGAACTAGTGGACAGGCATTCAATAATCATTCCTGGCCCACTGATCTATATAAGGAGAATGGAGACATGATGGAGTCCTGAACTTACTGCAGGTACTGGTCGTACAGCTTCTTGGTGAGCCTCTCACGGAACCGCAGCTTCAGCTCATTCAGGCCCAGCTTCAGGAAGTTGTTGACCAAAGCTATCTGTAAGGAGCCAATCACACGTCATCATCAGACATGGTTTTGTTTAGGTCCGGACTCGTCGGAAGGGTTTTACAGGAAGACCAGAGATAGAGAGAAGTGGGACCTAGATCCCTCAGGGGTTCTTAGTTCAGATAGAGCACCATTGTCCTCCTATAGGAATGCAGCCTCAAAAGATTCATGGCTGCGTTCGGCTCAGTCACCACCGCCATCCTCTTATAGCAATGCAGCCTCAGAAGATTCATGGCTGCGTTCGGCTCAGTCACTACCGCCATCCTCTTATAGCAATGCAGCCTCAGAAGATTCATGGCTGCGTTCGGCTCAGTCACTACCGCCGTCCTCCTATAGCAATGCAGCCTCAGAAGATTCATGGCTGCGTTCGGCTCGGTCACTACCGCCGTCCTCCTATAGCAACTAAGGAGGGTAACTTCAGATCTTTGCTGGTTTGACAATGATACCAAAGGTGCATCTCTGGCCAATTCTGGACACACCCAGGGACAGCTTTTATTCTGAACAGACCCATCCCAGAAACGGTTTCTGTTCTGGACACACCCCCCCAGGGAAGGCTTTTATCCTGAACACACCCACCACGGTATGGTTTCTGTTTTTGACACACCTACCCAGGGATGGCTTCCATCCTAGACACACCCACGCAGGGACGGTTTCTGTGCTGGAAAAACGAAAGTTACGACTGTAACTATGGTTCTATAAATCCCGAATGACGGCCAGAGGCGGTGCTTAAAGCACAAATGATCATGCTTGTGCATGCACAGGTCGAGCATCTTATACTAACATAGTCACGTGTTGTGACAACGACAGCTCAGTCCCTTAATCTTCTGGCAAAAACATGATGATTCCGAGGGACCGTGCGCTCTGGCGGTCTTCCGGGATTCATAGAACCGTAGTTACAGTCGTAATTTTCATTCTATTTTATCCCTACTGACCGCCAGAGGCGGTGCCTAAAGCACGGATGACGATTACAAACAGAGTCCTGAGGAATCACATACAGAAACAAACAACCCGAAACATGCCCAGCTTACTGGGAAGATGGTGCACGCCGGGACAGGATCCCCTGCAGTGGGTGAAATGCCGCCAAGTTAACCCTGTAAAACTTAGCAAAGGTATTAGGGGATTAACAAGAGGCTGCTGAACAAATAGCCTCCAGAGTGACACCAGCCATAGCGGCCCATGACACACTAATGCCCCTGGTGGGATGGCAACGAACACCAGCGGGGGGTTGACGGCCCTGCCGAATGTAGGATTGTTCCACTACATCCACCATGCAACGCGCAAGGCGGTGTTTAGAAAGGGCCTGCCCCTTGCGGGGTCCCACGTAGCAAACAAACAGAATACCCGACTGCCCGAAGAGAGAAGCTGTGAGACTGACGTATGCCTTCAGTGCCCGAACAGGGCAGAGAAGCTCATCAGGCCCATCTGCATCAAGGCGGGCAAGCTGGAGGGGCACAGTGTGGCTCGCGGATAAAGCCGCCTTAGGAAGAAACGCGCATCAGGCCAAAGAGTAACACCTGAACCAGCCGGGTTCCAACGGCAGCAGGACCTGTGAACAGACAAGGCATGTAGTTCACCAACCCATTTCGCCGAGGCCATGTGCGAGGAGAAAAGCTGTCTTCTTTGACACACACTCAAGGCTTGCCTCCGTCAATGGTGCAAAAAGAGGAGAGTGCTGGGCAGCGAGGACAAGAGAGGTCCCACACAAGCACAACACGGCATGTGGGAGGGTGCAAAAGTCGGGCACCTCTCAAAAACAAGGAAACGTCCTTGTTACGACCCATCGTCTACCCACCCAATGCCAGCAAGAGATGGCAGCAACATAAACTTTCAGAGTGGATGGAGAGCGACCTTGAGAAAGCAGTGCTTGAAGGAAGGTTAAAATAACAGAATTAGGACAGTGTACAGGGTCCTCATTTCTTTCCCGACACCAGGGGCTAAAAGCCTTCAACTTATGGGCCTTGGCATTAGTCACCGTGTGTCTGCTGTCCCCTCCATATTCCGAGAAGGAAACGCCTGGCCCTGTAGTGGCCACACCAAAAGTTGGAGGTGACTGGGATTGGGATGCAGGATGTGACTGCCCAGCTGTGAGAGAAGGTCCTTCCTGTGGGGAAGAGGCATTGGAGAGCTGCAACAGAGCCTGTGCAGCAGTGGAAACCAAGTCCTCCCTGGCCACCGGGGGGGCACCAGAATGAGCTGATGCCCCTCCTGAAGGACCCTTACGAGTGTTGGGCCTATCAGGGGAAGCGGCGGAAATGCATAGAGCAGTGCCCTCGGTCAGTTTCGCAACAACGCATCCTGACCTAGGGGACTGGCACTGTCTACCGGGGACAACCAAAGTGGGGAATGTGTTGTCTCTTGGGAAGCGATTAAATCTATGGCTGCCCTTCCTAACCTCTCCCAAATAGTCCCCACAACATCTGGGTGGAGCCTCTGAGATAGGATCTCAGCAGGAACATTCTGCACCCCTTGGTCAGGGTCTCCAGTCACGTTAGCACCACGCTCACCCCTAAGGGACTGGAGCAGTGCTTTCATCCCCTCCAGAAAGAGTTTGCGCAGCCTCTGGAGGGCAAGATGATCTTCGCAGCTTCGACCTAAGTCTCGAGGCTACCAGTTACAACTGTGTCTTACCACCTGTTCAACCCGAATGCGAGAAGATAAAAAAGGGACTGAGCTGTCGTCACGTGGTTATATAGGCTCACCGGTGTCACCGGGGTTCACACATGACTATGTTGGTATAAGATTCTTGACCTGTGCATGTGCAAGAGTGATCATTCGTGCTTTAAGCACCGCCTCTGGCAGTCAGTAGGGATGAAAGTAGGGATGAAATAGAACCAACCCAGGTATCCAGGTATGGCTTTTATCATGGACACACCCACCCAGGGAAGGTTTCTTTTCTCGACACACCCACCCTGGGAAGACTTTCATTGCTGGACACACCCACCCAGGGAAGGTTTCTATTCTAGACACATCCACCCAGGGAAGACTTTCATTGCTGGACACACCCACCCAGGGAAGGTTTCTATTCTGGACACACCCACCCAGGATAGACTTTCATTGCTGGACACACCCACCCAGGGAAGGTTTCTATTCTAGACACACCCACCCAGGGATGGTTTCTTTTCTCGACACACCCACCCAGGGATGGTTCTTTTCTCGACACACCCACCCAGGGATGGTTCTTTTCTCGACACACCCACCCAGGGATGGTTCTTTTCTCGATACACCCACCCAGGGAAGGTTTCTATTCTGGACACACCCACCCAGGGAAGACTTTCATTGCTGGACACACCCACCCAGGGAAGGTTTCTATTCTGGACACACCCACCCAGGGATGGTTTCTTTTCTCGACACACCCACCCAGGGAAGGTTTCTATTCTGGACACACCCACCCAGGGATGGCTTTTATCCCGCACACGCCCACCTAGCAACGGTTCCTTGAGGAGATCTAAAGGATGGGGTGGTGTTCATGTGTACAAGAACCTGGACTCCTATGGATCCTTCTAATAACAAATCTGAATATACCAAAGAGTGATGGTCCCTCACGTGTTAGACTGAACCCATTTCATCCTGGACAGCAGCCATTTATCAGAGGCAGAGAGGCTCCTGAGGACCAGGACTGGAAGCACTGCTAAACAGACAGTTATGTAGCACAATGAATGGATAAAGCCAACTCACCACTGGCATGAATTTGATGAAGCTGAACAAGAAGATCTTGAAATCTTTAGTGGAGCGGCCAATGATGGCGCTGGGAATGAGAGGATGAGACGGGCCGACGTTAGCCGCAAGAAGAGAAAAAGAGGAAAACAAGGATGTCTGCAGTGGTTCTAGAATACATAGATCTGTTTAATTAGTTTCCCTTTGGGATTAATTAACTATTTTTTAAGTGAATTAGAAATCACTTAAAACAGAATCCAACCTTTATACTCTCTAGTGTTCCTCTGCATCACTTCATTAAATTCACTATGTCTATTTAAAACCATTTCTTTACTGACCGATTGGTCTTTAGGGACCAATGTTTTTTACTGACTGAGGGACGTTAGTAACCAATGGTTTTTACTGACCGATGGTCTATGGCGAGCGATAGTCTTTAGTGACCGATGGTCTTTGATGACCGATGGTTTTTAGTGACCGATGGTTTTAGTGACCAGTGGTCATTAGGAACCGATGGTTGTTAGTGACAGATGGTTTTTAGTGACTGATGGTCTAAGGTGACCAGTGGTCTTAGTTACGATGATTTTAGTGACAGATGGTCATTAATGACAGATGGTCTTTAGTGACCGATGGTCATTAGGGACCGATGGTCATCACGGACCAATGGTCATTAGGGATCCATGGTTGTTAGTGACAGATGGCTTTTAGTGACTGATGGTCTAAGGTGACCAGTGGTCTTAGTTACCGATGATTTTAGTGACCGATGGTCATTGATGACAGATAGTCTTTAGTGACCCATGGTCATTAGGGACCGATGGTCGTAAGTGACAGTTGGTTGTTAGTGACCGATGGTTTTAGTTACAGATGGTTTTAGTTATCAATGGTTGTTAATGACATATGGTCTTTGGTGACCCATGGCTTTAGTTACCAATGGTTGTTAGTGACAGATGGTCTTTAGTGACCCATAGTTTTAGTTACTGATGGTTGTTGGTAACAGATGCTCTTTAGTGACCGATGGTTTTAGTTATTGATGGTTGTTAATGACAGATGGTCTTTAGTGACCCATGGCTTTAGTTACCAATGGTTGTTAGTGACAGATGGTCTTAGTGACTGATGGTTTTAGTTGCTGGTGGTTGTTCGAGACAAATGGTCTTTAGTGACCGATGGTTTTAGTTACCGATGGTTGTTAGTGACAGATGGTCTATGGTGACCAGTGGTCTCAGTTACCGATGATTTTACTGACCGACGGTCATTAGGGACTGATGGTCGTAAGTGACAGTTGGTTGTTAGTGACCCATGGTTTTAGTTACAGATGGTTATAGTTACCGATGGTTGTTAATGACAGATAGTCTTTAGTGTCCCATGGCTTTAGTTACCTATGGTTGTTAGTGACAGATGGTCTTTAGTGACCCATGGCTTTAGTTACAGATGGTTGTTAGTGAAAGATGGTCTTAAGTAGCCAATGGTTTTAGTTACCGATGGGTGTTAATGACAGATGGTCTTTAGTGACTGATGATTTTAGTTGCTGGTGGTTGTTAGTGACAGATGGTTTTGGTTGGTGGTGGTTGTTAGTGACAGATGGTTTTAGTTGCTGGTGGTTGTTAGTGACAGAGGGTTTTAGTTACCGATGGTTGTTAATGACAGATGGTCTTTAGTGACTGATGGTTTTAGTTGCTTGTGGTTGTTAGTGACAAATGGTCGTTAGTGACCGATGGTTTTAGTTACCGATGGTTGTTAATGACAGATGGTCATTAGTGACAGATGGTCTAAGGTGAGCAATGGTATTATTTGCTGATGATTTTAGTGACAGATGGTCATTAGTGAGAGATGGTCTTTAGTAACCCATGGTTTCAGTTACAGATGGTTGTTAATGACAGATTGTTTTTAGTGACCCATGGTTTTAGTTAAAAATGGTTGTTGACAGATTATCTTTAGTGACCGATGGTTTATGGTGGCAAGTGGTTTGTAGTGATCGATGAATGTTAGTGAACAACAGTTGTTAGTTACCTATGTTTTTTGTGACCAATGTCCCTAGAAGCTCAACTCTACCAATAACACCTCAGACAGCCTTAAATTCTTCTGAATTACATTTGTTTTCTAGCTCTCTAATTTAACCTCCATGTGTTGTTCTCTGCCTCACTGAAACAGTTGATCTTTTAATAAAGATAAAAACATTTATGCATTATTTTTATTTCCATGGTATGGAAAACTGTGCTGCATATGTTCAGTATCTAGTTTCAACTTGTAGAACCGCGAGCACCCTCAAATAAGAACAAACATAGATCCCTAAAATCATATGTTTCTCTTTAGGGAAGCGAGGGGCCGCCACAGGGAATCCTATACAGGGGGCTGCTGAGGGTCTGACTCCACTGCAGGTTAACCTGGAAGCTCAAGGTCCAAGTCACGCTGACCTTTCAATCATGGTACCGTTTTGGATCATCCACACATCGCAGTAGGTCCTGGCCACCAACATGCTGGCAATGAGGAGGAGGTAGGCGGTCTGCGGAGGAGAAGCAGAATGGTGAGGGCAGTATAAAGCTCCTTTATCTCTCTAACCTTGGCCCAGGTAGAATCCAGCCTCGCCTTCAGATAAGCGCTGTGGCGATGAAGCTAGCGTTTCTGGGTCAAAGGGCTCTGCTATCTGTACAGCAATGAGGACATCAAGGACAGTCTGATCCAGTAATATGACACCACTGTTCTTAATATAAAGTAAGTCCTTACCCCCAGTTCTCATCTATATGAACTAGATCTAGAATAAAAACCTCTTTAGGAAATGAGTAAACAGCTTTTATCCAAGTGACTCCATTCTATGCTGCCATCGTCAGGTTTTCAACAAGCTACAAACTAAAACTAAGGTAAAACCATCAGAGCAGCCTGTTGTCATAAAGACTTACCTCCATGCAGAAGAACCGGGGAACCATGATGCGCAGAATTCGAAGGATCCGGAAAAAGAAGACTTTATCCACAGCCGCTTTGTCCTTCTTTCCATCTTTCTACGTTTACAAAGAAATACAGGATTATTTCGGGTGACAGAGATCTGGGAGGCCATGTTGGAGGCTGCTCGGTCAGCTCTTTAGTTTGTCGGAGGACCAGGGAATCTCCTTTGTGCCTTCCTGGGCGGCTGGGTTCTGATCTGGCCCATTTGCTGGTTAGGTTTAAATGAAGATGGTCTCCTGACTTCGTCAGGGTGACTCGTTGCTAAGCTTCTTGGGTCAGAACCCATTCAGCCAAATCATGGTTCTACTCTCAGCTCCAAAGTAAAACAGCTAACCGAGCAGCCACTGGTCAGGAGAACGTTGCTGAGCCTACCTCTGAGCTCACTACCAGCTGGGAGCTTCCTTTGAGACTGTCAGGAGAAAACAAACACAGAGCACCATTAATTAGACGCTTCACCATCTCGATCCTAACCAGGAAACATCTAGAAGCAGAGAAGGAAGGAGAGGAAAGCCCAGTCAGCCCCAGGCTGCTTGGATCTACTTCAGGTATCAAAGGACCTCCTGGTCTCTCTGCAGATTCTGCTATGAGTTGAGTGGAGAGGTTCCGACCCATTAATAAAGGACCAGAGTTGGTTTGGTCCTGGGCTTGGCACAGTAGCCCATATCATAGCCAGTCTGAGTGTGTGGGGGGTTCTGGAGGTCCAGTCTGAGCTTGTGGGGGGTTCTGAGGGTCCAGTCTGTGCTTGTGAGGGGTTCTGAGGGTCCAGTGTGAGTTTATGGGGGGTTCTGAGGGTCCAGTGTGAGTTTGTGGGGGGTTCTGAGGGTCCAGTGTGAGTTTGTGGGGGGTTCTGAGGGTCCAGTGTGAGTTTGTGGGGGGTTCTGAGGGTCCAGTGTGAGTTTATGGAGGGTTCTGAGGGTCCAGTCTGAGTTTGTGGGGGGTTCTGAGGGTCCAGTGTGAGTTTGTGGGGGGTTCTGAGGGTCCAGTGTGAGTTTATGGAGGGTTCTGAGGGTCCAGTGTGAGTTTATGGGGGGTTCTGAGGGTCCAGTCTGAGCTTGTGGGGGGGTCATGAGGGTCCAGTCTGAGTTTGTGGGGGGTTGTGAGGGTCCAGTCTGAGCTTGTGGGGGGGGTGGGGGGGGGGGGGGGGGGGGGTTGGGGGGTTATGAGGGTCCAGTGTGAGTTTATGGAGGGTTCTGAGGGTCCAGTGTGAGTTTATGGGGGGGTTCTGAGGGTCCATTGTTAGTTTGTGGGGGGTTATGAGAGTCCAGTGTGAGTTTATGGGAGGTTCTGAGGTTCCAGTCTGAGCTTGTGGGGGGTTATGAGGGTCCAGTCTGAGTTTGTGGGGGGTTCTGAGGGTCCAGTGTGAGCTTATGAGGGGTTCTGAGGGTCCAGTCTAAGCTTGTGGGGGGGTTATGAGGGTCCAGTCTGAGTTTATGGAGGGTTCTGAGGGTCCAGTCTGAGCTTATGAGGGGTTCTGAGGGTCCAGTCTGAGCTTGTGGGGGGGTTATGAGGGTCCAGTCTGAGTTTATGGAGGGTTCTGAGGGTCCAGTCTGAGCTTGTGGGGGGGGTTATGAGGGTCCAGTCTGAGTTTGTGGGGCGTTCTGAGGGTCCAGTGTGAGTTTATGGAGGGTTCTGAGGGTCCAGTCTGAGCTTATGAGGGGTTCTGATTGTCCGGTGTGAGTTTATGGGGGATTCTGAGGGTCCAGTCTGAGTTTGTGGGGGGTTTTACAGGGTTCTTTTTACAGAGAGGCCCTTGGACCCCCAAGTGGCACTTGGACCCCCAGCTTGTCAGAGGTGCTGGTGGTTCTGAAAGCACAGTTTGTGTTTAGTTATCAGCTTTGAGGATCAAGGACTAGATGAACTGAACAGAACCAGACCATAGAACCACCTGTAGAACCCTCCAATCAGTGGTCGGTTCTACATCATGCTCTCACCTGTTGTTCACACCTGAGGGAAAAGTTCTGATCCTGTTCTGTCCAGAGTCTGATCAGTGGGCTTCTAGGGCCGCTTGACCCACTGATGGGTCCAGATCAGACTAGCAGTCTGAAAGCGGTACTGACCTGTGTCTGGGTCGGTTCTGATCGGTCTCTGACCTGTGCTTGGGTCGGTTCTGATCGGGTACTGACCTGTGCTTGGGTCGGTTCTGACCTGTGCTTGGGTCGGTTCTGATCAGGTACTGACCTGTGTCTGGGTCGGTTCTGATCAGGTACTGACCTGTTCTTGGGTCGGTTCTGATCAGGTACTGGCCTGTGCTTGGGTCGGTTCTGATCAGGTACTGGCCTGTGCTTGAGTCGGCTCTGACCTGTGTTTGGGTCGGTTCTGATCAGGTACTGACCTGTGTCTGGGTCGGTTCTGATCAGGTACTGACCTGTTCTTGGGTCGGTTCTGATCAGGTACTGACCTGTTCTTGGGTCGGTTCTGATCAGTCGGTTCTGATCAGGTACTGACCTGTGCTTGGGTCGGTTCTGATCAGGTACTGACCTGTGCTTGGGTCGGTTCTGATCAGGTACTGACCTGTGTCTGGGTCGGTTCTGATCAGGTACTGGCCTGTGCTTGGGTCGGCTCTGACCTGTGTTTGGGTCGGTTCTGATCAGGTACTGACCTGTTCTTGGGTCGGTTCTGATCAGGTACTGGCCTGTGCTTGGGTCGGCTCTGACCTGTGTTTGGGTCGGTTCTGATCAGGTACTGGCCTGTGTCTGGGTCGGTTCTGATCAGGTACTGACCTGTTCTTGGGTCGGTTCTGATCAGGTACTGACCTGTGCTTGGGTCGGCTCTGACCTGTGTTTGGGTCGGTTCTGATCAGGTACTGGCCTGTGCTTGGGTCGGTTCTGATCAGGTACTGGCCTGTGCTTGGGTCGGTTCTGATCAGGTATTGACCTGTCTCTGAGTCGGTTCTGATCAGGTACTGACCTGTGCTTGGGTCGGTTCTGACCTGTGTCTGGATCGGTTCTGATCAGGTTCTGACCTGTGCTTGGGTCGGTTCTGAACAGGTATTGACCTGTTCTTGGGTCGGTTCTGATCGCGTACTGATCTTTGCTTGGGTCGGTTCTGACCTGTGTTTGGGTCGGTTCTGATCGGGTACTGACCTGCGTTTGGGTCGGTTCTGACCTGTGTCTGAGTGGGTTCTGATCGGGTACTGACCTGTGTTTGGGTCGGTTCTGATCGGGTACTGACCTGTGCCTGGGTCGGTTCTGATCGGGTACTGACCTGTGTTTGGGTCGGTTCTGATCGGGTACTGACCTGCGTTTGGGTCGGTTCTGACCTGTGCCTGGGTCGGTTCTGATCGGGTACTGACCTGTGCTTGGGTCGGTTCTGATCGGGTACTGACCTGTGTTTGGGTCGGTTCGGATCGGGTACTCACCTGTGCTTGGGCCGGTTCTGACCCGTGCTTGGGTCGGTTCTAATCGGGTACTGACCTGTGCTTGGGTCGGTTCTGATCGGTTCTGACCTGTGCTTGGGCCGGTTCTGACCCGTGCTTGGGTCGGTTCTAATCGGGTACTGACCTGTGCTTGGGTCGGTTCTGATCGGGTACTGACCTGTGTTTGGGTCGGTTCTGACCTGTGTCTCAGTGGGTTCTGATCGGGTACTGACCTGTGCTTGGGTCGGTTCTGATCGGGTACTGACCTGTGTTTGGGTCGGTTCTGACCTGTGTCTCAGTGGGTTCTGATCGGGTACTGACCTGTGCTTGGGTCGGTTCTGATCGGGTACTGACCTGTGCTTGGGTCGGTTCTGATCGGGTACTGACCTGTGTTTCGGTCGGTTCTGATCGGGTACTGACCTGTGCTTGGGTCGGTTCTGATCGGTTCTGACCTGTGCTTGGGCCGGTTCTGACCCGTGCTTGGGTCGGTTCTAATCGGGTACTGACCTGTGCTTGGGTCGGTTCTGATCGGGTACTGACCTGTGCTTGGGTCGGTTCTGATCGGTTCTGACCTGTGTTTGGGTCGGTTCTGATCGGGTACTGACCTGTGCTTGGGTCGGTTCTGATCGGGTACTGACCTGTATTTGGGTCGGTTCTGACCTGTGTCTGAGTGGGTTCTAATCGGGTACTGACCTGTGTTTGGGTCGGTTCTGATCGGGTACTGACCTGTGTTTGGGTCGGTTCTGACCTGTGTCTGAGTGGGTTCTAATCGGGTACTGACCTGTGTTTGGGTCGGTTCTGATCGGGTACTGACCTGTGTTTGGGTCGGTTCTGACCTGTGTTTGGGTCGGTTCTAATCGGGTACTGACCTGTGTTTGGGTCGGTTCTGATCGGGTACTGACCTGTGTTTGGGTCGGTTCTGATCGGGTACTGACCTGTGTTTGGGTCGGTTCTGACCTGTGTCTCAGTGGGTTCTGATCGGGTACTGACCTGTGTTTGGGTCGGTTCTGATCGGGTACTGACCTGTGTTTGGGTCGGTTCTGATCGGGTACTGACCTGTGTTTGGGTCGGTTCTGACCTGTGTCTCAGTGGGTTCTAATCGGGTACTGACCTGTGTTTGGGTCGGTTCTGACCTGTGTCTCAGTGGGTTCTAATCGGGTACTGACCTGTGTTTCGGTCGGTTCTGATCGGGTACTGACCTGCGTTTGGGTCGGTTCTGATCGGGTACTGACCTGTGTTTGGGTCGGTTCTAATCGGGTACTGACCTGTGTTTGGGTCGGTTCTGATCGGGTACTGACCTGTGTTTGGGTCGGTTCTGATCGGGTACTGACCTGTGTTTGGGTCGGTTCTGACCTGTGTCTCAGTGGGTTCTGATCGGGTACTGACCTGTGTTTGGGTCGGTTCTGATCGGGTACTGACCTGTGTTTGGGTCGGTTCTGACCTGTGTCTCAGTGGGTTCTAATCGGGTACTGTCCTGTGTTTCGGTCGGTTCTGATCGGGTACTGACCTGCGTTTGGGTCGGTTCTGACCTGTGCTTGGGTCGGTTCTGATCGGGTACTGACCTGTGTTTGGGTCGGTTCTGATCGGGTACTGACCTGTGTTTGGGTCGGTTCTGATCGGGTACTGACCTGTGTTTGGGTCGGTTCTGACCTGTGTCTCAGTGGGTTCTAATCGGGTACTGACCTGTGTTTCGGTCGGTTCTGATCGGGTACTGACCTGCGTTTGGGTCGGTTCTGACCTGTGCTTGGGTCGGTTCTGATCGGGTACTGACCTGCGTTTGGGTCGGTTCTGACCTGTGTTTCGGTCGGTTCTGATCGGGTACTGACCTGCGTTTGGGTCGGTTCTGACCTGTGCTTGGGTCGGTTCTAATCGGGTACTGACCTGTGTTTCGGTCGGTTCTGATCGGGTACTGACCTGCGTTTGGGTCGGTTCTGACCTGTGCTTGGATCGGTTCGGATCGGGTACTCACCTGTGCTTGGGTCGGTTCTGACCTGTGCCTGGGTCGGTTCTGATCGGGTACTGACCTGTGCTTGGGTCGGTTCGGATCGGGTACTGACCTGTGCTTGGGCTGGTTCTGATCAGGTACTGACCTGTGTTTGGGTCGGTTCTGATCGGGTACTGACCTGTGTTTGGGTCGGTTCTGACCTGTGTCTCAGTGGGTTCTAATCGGGTACTGACCTGTGCTTGGGTCGGTTCTGATCGGGTTCTGACCTGTGCTTGGGTCGGTTCTGATCGGGTTCTGACCTGTGTCTGAGTGGGTTCTAATCGGGTACTGACCTGTGTTTGGGTCGGTTCTGATCGGGTTCTGACCTGTGCTTGGGTCGGTTCGGATCGGGTACTCACCTGTGCTTGGGTCGGTTCTTTCCTCCGGTTCTGATCAGGTAGAGCAGCAGCAAACCGCCTCCCGCCAGGATCGAGTTCTTCGCTGTCAGATGTTTGCTGAAAGCCGCCATGTTGGGAACTCAGGGACCGGTTCGGCTCGTTCCGCTGCTGTCACTGCCGACCGACCTCCTGCCCTGTAGGAAGGGCGCATGCGCACAGGCCTCTTCTTCTTCCTTTTCTGAAGGAGTTTTGGTGCCAGCGGGGCACAGCTCCACCTGCAGCTCAAAGGTGGTATTACATCGGGGGCATTCAGGCTGCTTTCCTCCAGCAGCGCTGCTCCTGCCTTCCTCTTCTTCTTCTGGGGGCCTGAGAAACTGGTTCACTATGTTTTAAATCATTTCTATCAACTTATCAGAATAAATTACATAATGTACCTCTTTACTGCATAAAGACTCTCTCCCTTATTTAAAGGAAGGCATGTTTATCTGCAAAGCATTAACAAGACAACATGGGCGCTTAATTAGACAAACACAGGAGATAAAGAAGAGGAAAAGAGAAGAGAGGAAATCTGATCAGGTTTACATAGATCACTCCCACAGCACAGTCACCTTTATTCCAGATTAGTGAGACATTAGAACTAGAAGCTGCATCTCCATGTTAGGTTCTGGTTCTGATCCAATAGAACTCAGAGGTCTGGCTGTCGATCCACTGCCAACCAGTCTGTCATCTATTTTTTGATTGAAGAATCAAAGTATTACAATGCATATCAAAACAATGATACAAAATAGTAAACTGAATATCTTAAGAAGCTGAGCAGAGTATGTATGATATAACAAACAGAATCATACAGAGAACCTATATACTATTAGAAAACAAAAACATCAGATTGTAGAACAAAGTCATTAAATAAAAAGAAAAGAAGAAAAACAGAACAGAAAAGGACTCTTGAATTCTAGAGTAAATTATCAATATATTACATCATCGATTGGCCTGTAGGGTTTTTATAATGGGTTAGTACTTCTTTTAATAAAAGTATCGCACTTATAAAAATATTGAAAGATGGGGTTATTTTTTTAAATCGACATTTATGTATGAAAATTTGGCCAAGGAATTAAATTGTTATTACCATAGTTTGATTCTCTATCCCCCGTAAAAAAAAATAGTTTTATCACATGAAAATTCAAAAATGGTAAAAAAGTCCAAGTTTGAAAATCCTTTCAAAAGATATTTATGATATTTCACTGAAAAAATTGATGTTCTGCTGTTTCAGTGTCTGAATCACAAAATACACAATAATTGGTAGTTATGTTAAATTTTCTACGTAAAGCATCATCATCATCATTATGAAATGATTTCCTTTACTTTCTGTGGAAATGAAAGATATCTGGTTCTAATTTCCTTTAAAGAGGAATCGTCATTCTTTTTGAACAAATGTTTTCTTCTTAAGGTTGATGGAAAAATATTGATTCTTATAAATCTATTAGCTCATTTTTTGTCAATAAAATCAAAACCGTTTATAAAGATGAATCTTTTAGAGCAATTGTTGAACATGTTATTGTACCTTTAATTAGTAGCAGCATAGCAGGGGAATTGCCTTTATAACTTTATTAAATCTAGTTTCTGTACATGTTATTTTGTATTTTCTGATAAAAGCATCATATGATACGAAGTTTCATGAGGCGTAGAAAGGACCAGATACCTTTGTCCATCCAATCTTTGTAAAATAATGGTTTTTGTTTAATAAGGATTCATCTGTTGTTCCAGATCGGGACAGAATGAGGTGAAAAATTATGCCTAAAAATAAGTTTCCAATATTGCAGAACCTGTTTATGGAAATCTGATCGTTTTATTGGTAACTTAGAGATTTCAAAGTCTCATCAGAAATGAGATTTCACCAAAAGCATTAAAAATCTTGTAGGTAAATTATGCCAGAAACGTTCATCATTTAGTTCTGAAGCCCTGAAGCCGTCTGAGTCTGATGGTTCCATTCATTGGGTCAGAATCCATCAAACCTCCTTCTTCTAACGACATCACATCTCCTTATATAATGGCTTCTGTTTCACCAAATGAAATTAAAATGTTTTTTTTAATCATTTTATCAGATACAACCAGTAAGCTGGGTAAATAAGCCCAGATAAACTTTCCATTTTTGTCAATAAAATACGTCCAAAAATAGATGAATCTCTCTGGAGCCAACTGTTGAGAATGACTTTAACTTCCTCAATTTTACTTTCTATATTTCATGTTTCTCTTGATGTTTTATCCTTTGATGTGTTGATAGCTAAATATTTCACCTCTTTTTTAATTGGGATGTTACAAACAGTGAAGCGTCATTATTTCACATTTCTTCATATCCAAATGTAGACCAGAGGCTTTAGTATTTCTCTCAGCACCTTTGAACTTTGATTAGTATTTTTTAAAAACAAGGTTGAATCATCTGCTAGCTGAGTAATTACCAAGGAGCTTCAGCTTCCAGCGGTTAAACATTTAGATTATTTTTTATAGAAATTGCTAAAAGTCTTGCCACAGTAATGAACAGTAGAGGGGAAGCAGATGCCTCTTTTTATACGGAAGCGTTTGGTCGTTCCAGAGACACTGAGCTATTAATGTCCGTATAAAGCAGCTGAAGGATGTTTCTTCATTTCTCCAAAGCTAAAACACTCCAGGGCGTTTAGCATAAAGGAGTGTTGGACCGAGTCTAAAGCTTTATTAAAATGACTCCATCCTCCTCCAGCAGGTGCTTCTAATCCAGTAGATCTAACAGCAGTCTCCGGTTATTGTGAATAGAAAAGCAGACTGTGTCACTTATGATCTGAGATAAATCTTCTTTTAACCGTCTGCTATTACGTCTGTGAATATAGTTTTATAGTCAGTGTTTAATAGAGTCATTGGTTTCAACACATCTTTGATCTTTTTCTGGTTCTGGGATGAGAGTAATAGGACCCTGTTTCATTGTAGGTGTTAATGAATTAGTAATATGTCATGAAATGTTTGAAAAAGAAATAGTTTTAGGTTTTCCCTAAAGAATTGATAAACTGCTGAGGTCAGACCATCTTGCCCCGGTGCTTTTCAGTGGCCATTTTTTGATGACTCTAATTCTTCTAATTTGAAATCTGATTGACAGTTTTCTTTAAAGGCTGCGTCTATAATTGGAACATATTCTTTGATCTCTTCTAGACAGATATTTGCATTAGCAGAATTATATTAAGATGAATATAAATTTGAATAAAATCTGTAAATTTCCTCCAAAATAATCTTATGCTCTATGTATTCTTTGTTGTCTATAATAAGTGAATTTATACTTTTTCTTTCTTGCCTATTTTTTCCAGATTACTAAATTAAGATGTATTTTTCTCTCCTTCTTCTATCCATTTGGCTCGAGATCTGATGTAAGTACCATGTGCTCTTTTATGAAATTTAACATCCAATTGGTTTTGCAGCCTTACAAATTTATATCTGTCAGCTTCAGTCATTTCGGTTTTTTTACACAAATAATTCATATTTTGCACCAGTCTGGCCTCAGATTCTCTCCGTCGTCTGCGTTTCAGTTTACTAAATGATATTGAGAATTCTCATGCCTAGAATTTAAAGTATTGCCATCTCTTACTCATGCTACCAATAGACTGGTCAGTTTCAAAGATCCGTATCAATTCTTTAATCATTCGAACATATTCCTCATCTTTTAGTAATTCAGCATTCAATTTCCAGTAATCTTTTTTAAAGTTGCTCCTATTAGTGTTATTTAATTTGAGTGATATCACACAGTGATCTGTTAGAGGAGCAGAGGAAATGGAGATACCTGAAGCATATTCAGCTACTTCTGGGGCGGCCAACCAGAAATCTATCCTAGATTTGGCGCTACCATCTGGTTTGATCCAAGTGAATTGGAGAATTTTTTTATTTTATTTTTTTTTTAGAGTAAATAAATTCAAGTAACATTAGATCTAATTGCTCAGAAGCATATCTGGAAGGGCATCTGTCAAGCCAGTTATCAGGGGTCAGGTTAAAGTCACCGCCCAACACAATAAAATCTGAATTGTCAATTTCCTTATATTCAGTGATGATATCAGCTAGCTTTAACAATAACAACTTCTTTTGGTTAGTATTTGCAAACCCATAAACATTGCAGAGTATGAGAAAATGTCCTTCAATATTTAACAGAGCAGCTTTTCCAGAGCTCATGAACTCTAAAGGCAAAAACCTTGCCAGGACATCTGTTAAAGCAGATAGCGAGCCCTCCAGAGCGGTTAGAGCCATGGCTGAAAAAGATCTTTCTCCCCATTGGTTTGACCACAGGGGCCATGCGCCGCATGAGTGAGTCTCTTGCAGAAAGGTGCAGTGAGCCCTTTGCAGAAGGTGCAGTAAGTCTCTTGCAGAAGGTGCAGTGAGCCCCTTGCAGAAGTTGCAGTGAGCCCCTTGCAGAAGATGCAGTGAGTCTCTTGCAGAAGGTGCAGTGAGTCTCTTGCAGAAGGTGCAGTAAGCCCCTTGCAGAAGGTGCAGTGAGTCTCTTGCAGAAGGCGAGTCAGTCTCTTGCAGAAGGTGCAGTGAGTCTCTTGCAGAAGGTGCAGCAAACCCTTTGCAGAAGGTGCAGTGAGTCTCTTGCAGAAAGGTGCAGTGAGTCCCTTGCAGAAGGTGCAGTGAGGCCCTTGCAGAAGGTGCAGTGAGCCCATTGCAGAAGGTGCAGTGAGTCTCTTGCAGAAGGTGCAGTGAGTCACTTGCAGAAGGTGCAGCGAGCCCTTTGCAGAAGGTGCAGTGAGTCTCTTGCAGAAAGGTGCAGTGAGCCCCTTGCAGAAGGTGCAGTGAGTCTCTTGCAGAAAGGTGCAGTGAGCCCCTTGCAGAAGGTGCAGTGAGTCTCTTGCAGAAAGGTGCAGTGAGCCCTTTGCAGAAGGTGCAGTGAGTCTCTTGCAGAAAGGTGCAGTGAGCCCTTTGCAGAAGGTGCAGTGAGCCCTTTGCAGAAGGTGCAGTGAGCCCCTTGCAGAAGGTGCAGTGAGCCCCTTGCAGAAGGTGCAGTGAGCCCCTTGCAGAAGGTGCAGTGAGCCCATTGCAGAAGGTGCAGTGAGTCTCTTGCAGAAGGTGCAGTGAGTCTCTTGCAGAAGGTGCAGTGAGTCTCTTGCAGAAGGTGCAGTGAGCCCATTGCAGAAGGTGCAGTGAGTCTCTTGCAGAAGGTGCAGTGAGTCTCTTGCAGAAGGTGCAGTGAGTCTCTTGCAGAAGGTGCA